GTCTAAACCTGCTTCAAAGCCACAGCAGGATTACACAATATTTTACCATTATTCATTCCTGTCTTCTGCTGATTATAACCATATGTTACAGGATGGTGTAGGTAAGAAACCCTGTAGTAATTTAAAATGTAAAATCTGAAGAAATTAACTGTACTGGATGCGCTTTAGTTGTCACAGACCATTTATGGAGTCCTCAGGTGAACCCCAGCAGCGTGAACTAACTGTTCGACTCATCCAGCGTAAATGAGTCATTGCTTACTTGGCAGATCTGGAAAATACTTTTCATGCTAAATAACTGTGATGTATGCATGGCACAGATCTGGTCTAAAGTTCAGGGATTTTGATTTTGAGTGCTTCTAAATGGTTGGATATAAAGTAGAATTTTTTTTACATATTTTAGAAAGAATGCTAGCCTACTGCTTAAAGCAGATCATATCTGTACTGCCTACTGTTCATTAAAAAATAAAATGGATTTTGCATTATGAAACTATGCATTATGCCAATTTGAGTATGCAACATTGTAGTCATCTGACTTCATTGACACTGCATTTAATTCAGTTATAATTTCAGAATTAACATTAAACATGTCAGCTGTGCCAACTTGTGATCAAATAATGAGTTTAGAAGACATATATAGACCAGTTGGTATGAATTCAACTTTTGGCTCCTTGAACATTTTCAGATGAATACAGTGCCCTTATTGTTACTGGAATCGTCAATTTGAAATTGGTACAACTGGATTTTTTCTATACTTTTCATGAAATGCCTCCAGGAGACAGAATAATTGAAAACATGCTGAAAGGAAAGACATTCATTGAATTGTGCGAGCAATAAAGTATTGAACAGGGTCACATGTCCCACATTATGACTGTACTCGGAATGTAATGATTGCCAAATGTAAACTGTAATTCATTCTGGATGAGGTTCCATAAAGGCGTATATGTTAAGATGATGACAGCACACATACAGTGGGGTCCAAAAGTCTGAAAATCATGTTGTAAACCTTAGAATTTTTACATTTATTCCATGAAATAAGCGAGTTTGAGGATTTCAAACAATATATTTTCTGCACTATTTATAAGCAGTGACACTTGTCGTGTGCTTTTCTTGTATACAGACGGCCAGATGTTCTTGCTTCCACTGAAGCTCAAGATCCTCTGGTGAACTTCTGGAGAACATGATATCAGGTTTTACTCGTGCTGTCAATAAAATACAGGGCATGCCAAATAAGAAATTCAACGTGTTATACTGATTACTTGCACCAATTTTTTGGTCTAAGAGGACTGTTTTCAAATCATTAGTGACCCTTGGCCTCTGTCAAGAAGAATCATGGCAGAGGAACATTAATCTGGGCTGGAAACTATGTCTCGTTTCCCACATGGCAGTCAAGGTTGTGTAGCCCAAATTGTGCAGAATATCTGGATCACTATACAGTTGACTTTAGATTCCTGATGCCTCGTGCTATTAGCTTTGTCTATTGTTAAAAATTGTTTTTGGATAAGTGAATTAAAGTTTCAGACTTAAACCGTTTTTCCTGTCTGAATGACAAGTACCTGGTAAAGCTTAACATCAAGTCTGGATTCTTGGGCAACATTCTGTCATTGGTCTAAACCTGCTTCAAAGCCACAGCAGGATTACACAATATTTTACCATTATTCATTCCTTTCTTCTGCTGATTATAACCATATGTTACAGGATGGTGTAGGTAAGAAACCCTGTAGTAATTTAAAATGTAAAATCTGAAGAAATTAACTGTACTGGATGCGCTTTAGTTGTCACAGACCATTTATGGAGTCCTCAGGTGAACCCCAGCAGCGTGAACTAACTGTTCGACTCATCCAGCGTAAATGAGTCATTGCTTACTTGGCAGATCTGGAAAATACTTTTCATGCTAAATAACTGTGATGTATGCATGGCACAGATCTGGTCTAAAGTTCAGGGATTTTGATTTTGAGTGCTTCTAAATGGTTGGATATAAAGTAGAATTTTTTTTACATATTTTAGAAAGAATGCTAGCCTACTGCTTAAAGCAGATCATATCTGTACTGCCTACTGTTCATTAAAAAATAAAATGGATTTTGCATTATGAAACTATGCATTATGCCAATTTGAGTATGCAACATTGTAGTCATCTGACTTCATTGACACTGCATTTAATTCAGTTATAATTTCAGAATTAACATTAAACATGTCAGCTGTGCCAACTTGTGATCAAATAATGAGTTTAGAAGACATATATATATATATATATATATATATAGTGCACACTGCAAAAATAGTGAGAGTAGCATGCTAGTATCCATACTGTGCTTCTTTTTGAAATTATGGTATGTCATGATACAGTAGGCTATGTGGCCCAGTCGTTGACAACTTCTTTGCAGGACAGATGCAAGATGGTTGTGATGGCGCCTCCTGTTGATGAACTACTATAATTGTAATGTTAATGTAGAATAATGTTGTGTAGGGCAACTACAGGTGCATCTCAATAAATTAATAAAATAATAATAAAAAACTCAATAAAAAAGATAGTGAATTGGTGGGTTTTTGTTAAATGTGAGCCAAAATCATCACAATTAAAAGAACCAAAGACTTAAACTACTTCAGTCTGTGTGCACTGAATTTATTTAATACACGAGTTTCACAATTTGAGTTGAATTCCTGAAATAAATGAACTTTTCCACGACATTCTAATTTATTGAGATGCACCTGTAAGTGAAGAGCTAATGACATGGTAGCCATGATGTTAGAAAATAGATAGAACAGAAAAAAATAGTTTAAAAAAAAACATTTGACATAATCTCCTAAATATTCCCTCTGAAAGCATATGGCCCATGTTGTCAACATCCTTGAGTCTAGTTGCAAAGGTTGGTCATGCCGCCATCTGGTGGAAAATTATGGTTGTTACAGGGATAAATGGTAACATTTTTCAACTCACTTGTAGAAGTTAGGAGCTCGAAAATATTTAAAAGGGTAAAATTTTGAGAAATGTAGAGATTTAAATATTTTGAGAATGAAAAAAATTGTAAAAAAAAAAACATTTGACATAATCTCCTAAATATTCCCTCTGAAAGCATATGGCCCATGTTGTCAACATCCTTGAGTCTAGTTGCAAAGGTTGGTCATGCCGCCATCTGGTGGAAAATTATAGTTGTTACAGGGATAAATGGTAACATTTTTCAACTCACTTGTAGAAGTTAGGAGCTCGAAAATATTTAAAAGGGTAAAATTTTGAGAAATGTAGAGATTTAAATATTTTGAGAATTTATCATTACTTTACTTGCTCACCAGTGGATGCTCTGCAGTGAATGGGTGCCGTCAGAATGAGAGTCCAAACAGCTGATAAAAACATCACAATCATCTACAAATAATCCACACCGCTCCAGCCCATCAGTTAATGTCTTTTTGGGTGAACTATTCCCTTTATGTTATTTGGATTGTAATCTTTGAAATGCAGGACTAATTTGTTTTATGACCACTCTATCCTTGGCTCATCCACTAATACAGTTTTAAACATCTCTCGCCAAACTTGAAATTAACTGGAGTGCATTCTTTAAAATAGTGTGAGCGAGCCACTACTTTGTTCATTGCAACTTTTAATCCATCCATTCATCTGTCTGTCCGTCCATCCATCCATCCGTCCACCTATCTATCTATCTATCTATCTATCTATCTATCTATCTATCTATCTATCTATCTATCTATCTATCTATCTATCTATCTATCTATCCATCGCTATTTGTCATCCGTCCGTCCATCCATCCGTCCACCTATCTATCCATCCATCCATCCATCCATCATTATTTGTCATCCGTCCATCCATCCATCCGTCCACCTATCTATCCATCCAACCATCCATCCATCCATCACTATCTGTCATCCGTCCGTCCATCCATCCGTCCACCTATCTATACATCCATCCATCACTATCTGTCATCCGTCCGTCCATCCATCCGTCCACCTATCTATCCATCCACCCGTCTACCTATCTATCCATCCAACCATCCATCCATCCATCCCTATCTGTCATCCGTCCGTCCATCCATCCGTCCACCTATCTATCCATCCACCCGTCTACCTATCTATCCATCCAACCATCCATCCATCCATCCCTATCTGTCATCCGTCCGTCCATCCATCCGTCCACCTATCTATACATCCATCCATCACTATTTGTCATCTGTCCATCCATCCATCCGTCCACCTATCTATACATCCATCCATCACTATCTGTCATCCGTCCATCCATCCATCTGTCCACCTATCTATACATCCATCGCTATTTGTCATCTGTCCATCCATCCATCCATTGCTATTTGTCATCCATCCATCCAATGTTTCCTACATTTCCTTTATTGGTAAATGCATTATAAAGGAATGCAACCCACCAAATTCACAAGAAAAGAAATATACTCAAGGAATATATACAGTATACTGTATATAGTCTTTTTCATTCTCCTCCTTTTCCATATACAGATACAGAAACTCACTAATGTGATGAACTTATTTTTAGAATTCACTTTGGATTCTTTCTGTTATAAATATGTCTACAAACATATGACAGCTGTAGGACCATCATGACCAAATAAAGTCTTCAAATTCCGTCTGTCTCTCCCTCTTTCCATCCACCACCATCTCCCTGCCCTCCCTGCTTAATTTATTATTACCTTTACTATAACACTAGTAATAATTTACTATTATTACTTTTGCTCTTTTGAATTAAACCAAATGCAGAGAAGAAAACGTATGTCGTTTGGAATTTTCATTTTTGTTAAACTATTCCTTTAGAGCTCATTTGACCCATGCATTCCAGCAGTACAGTCATGATTGGTCAGGTGGCTAAGAGGCCTCAGCCAATGAGGTGCAGACTTGTACAGTATAACAAACAGACTGAGGGGCATTTAAAAGATGGAGAGAGATCAGAGCAGAACTCCTGGGCCGCAGCTCAGAGAGCAGATATATACGGATCACAGGAGCATCAACAGGACTCGACTTGAGGGACCATGAGCACCCAGTTCAGCAAAGGACCCACATTTGGACTCTCCGCTGATGTCAGGAATAAGGTATGTGCACTTTATAATACAAATGCAATAAACTTGCAAGCCCTGACTGCATACGAATGTCAAATAGATGTTGTTTATCAACTTTGCTCAACAGTTTTGCCCTATGACAATTCTGTGCCACAATGGAATTCCAACAATGCATTTCCTCATTAAAAAACAATTGTCACACTTACATCCAGTACAAATATTGGAATGCATTTAGAAAAGAAACATGGACTTAGTTAGAAGTTAAACTTTTAGGGAAACTTTGAGGTAAATGGAAAACCCCTTCCATTGGTGTATGAGTTGCTAAACAACAACATTTCCAAAACATTTGTCTGAAAAAATGAATTTATTTTTGCTATTATAGCTCTTTCATAAAAAAATATATTTTAGCATACATGCTGTGAACAATGGATGGTTAATGAAACTTTAGGGATGATATCTATTTACTGACATCAATGAAATATACACCAAATTAGTGTATAACTTCAATAAATATCATACTATTAATTTAGATGAGAAACTCAATTTTGTTCAGAATTATGGGTTAGTGTATCATCATTGCTATGAGAAATTTAACTATGATCTAAGTGGACATACACAACAGGAAGCTTGCGTAAATGTTTATATCCATCCTGTTCATGCTTGAATTTACTTCCAGAGGCTAGAACAGAGACGCACTGTGCTAAATTTACAACAACAACAAAAATAAATGTATATAGTAAAATACAAGCAAAATTCTAAAGGTCTAAACTGTTTTCTGCAGTTGTTAGCAAACAGCTTGCATCTATAACGTTAGAAAATGTTAGTATACAACAATGTAAATTATGTGGGAAAAAATAACTTTTTACATAACAGCTGGCACAGAAGTATGACCCTCAGACGGAGGAGGCCCTGAGGATGTGGATCCATGAGGTCACAGGTCGAACGGTTCCTGACAACTTCATGGAGGGACTGAAGGACGGCGTGATCCTGTGCGAGTGAGTTTCACCAATGAAAGACAGTTCATAACCATTTAACCAGCAAAGGCTCATTCAGAAATAAAAATACATTACTTTATGTTTATGACTTGGTATATTTACCAAACAACCAATTAAAAGTTATTTAGGGACAATAAACACACACACACATACACACACACACACAAAATAATGCATAATTGAGACAATTTAAATATCTAAGAAATAATCAAAAGTGAATATAAGCCAAATAAGTAAAAAGTAGAAAGAAGCCAAAAGTGAAAAGTTATCAAGGGTAAAAACTAAAGGTTAACACATAAATTACACACAAAACTTGCACTCACAGCATTTTTGATTTTTGTGTAATTGCTCTTATATTGTGTTTTTGTTCACTAGGCTGATCAACAAACTGCAACCTGGATCCGTTCCGAAGGTCAATCATTCAATTCTGAACTGGCACAAGGTAGTGTGTATATGCTATCAGCAATGTTCGAATTTTGCATCACTCATGTGCAAATGTGTGTGCATAGTGGTGACGACTTGGACGTCGTTGTTATGTTTTGAAATGAAAACTATGAGCCACATTTTTGCCATTTTAAGAATGCAACTGATGTTTGTTACAAACATAATGTCATTAGTGCATGTACTAGATGCCACGGTACGTGCTGAGAAATGCAGAGAATGTAGATGTGTACAGAATTTAGCGCCAAGCGCTATTAGGATTAAACCACTTGATTAAAAGACTGACGCAGACCGGCTTTTCTTTGGCACTGTCAAAGTGGTTATTGATTTAAAATGCAAATAGTTACAGAAGATAAGACAAACATGCAATTAAAAGTAGTTTGCATGAACAAGGAATGCAGCACAAGAGTCAAACTCTTCTAATGAATGGACTATTTTACCTCATTAACTCCAGTCTGTTTAAAGTACTTGAACTGTGGCGTTGACCTACAGAGCATGGCATAGTGGTATTTATGACACAAGGCACATTTTGGAGAAATATAGGGATGTATCCATTCCTAACTTCATACCTATTCCTTCAATCTCTCTTAGTTAGAGAACATCACTCACTTTATTCGAGCCATCGGTGAATACGGCCTGAAACCACATGACATCTTTGAGGCCAATGACCTTTTCGAGGACATGAACCACACCCAGGTCCAGTTTACCCTCGCTGCATTGGCTGGAGTGGTGAGAAAAGCTGATAAAACTCTTTAATATGCAGTTTGAACAACCTGTGAATACAACCAAAGATACTGTATGTCATGTTTTTTATGTCTTTTTCCATGTTCTCTCTCCAACCAGGCGAAGACTAAAGGCTTCTACACAAAAAGTGACATCGGTGTGAAGTATGCAGCAAAAAAGCAAAGGAAATTCAATCCTGACAAGATGAAAGCAGGGGATAGCATTATCACCCAGCAGGTCACATGACAAACACTTGACATAAGATGCATCAATGAGAAATGTCAATGCAACAGAAAACATTTTGAATATTAGAAAAACATGACATGCATTTATACAGAAATGGAAATGGGTCAAGAGTATGTAAATATACTACTTTGAATTACACTTGCATTTGATTTGAATGTAAAACACATTCTATGTTTCTTGTAACTACAGTTTGACAATTGAAAAAAAATACTACTGTTTAAAAGTGTGAGATTATAATTTTTTAGTGTTTTGAAAGAAGTAAATACAGGAATATTGTGAAATATTATCGCAATTAAAAAATAACTTTTCTATTTAAATATATTTTGAAATATAATTTATTCCTGTCATGCAAAGCTGAATTTCCAGCATCAGTTTTCAGTGCCACATGATCCTTTAGAAATCATTCTAATATGCTGATTTGCTGTTCAAGAAACAGTTGTGCTGCTTCATTTTTTACTTTTTTTTTTTTTAAACTGTGATACATTTATTGGAAACAGAAATCTTTTGTAACGTTACAAATGTGTTTACTGTTACTTTTGATCAATTTAATGTGTCCTTGCTGAATAAAAATTTCTAAAGAAAAAAAACATCTGACCCTAAACATTTGGACTATAGTATATAAAATACATTTCATGTGAATTCACAGATGGGCTCCAACAAATTTGCCAGCCAAAAGGGCATGACCTCCTATGGAACCAGGCGCCATCTCTATGATCCCAATATAGGCATGGAGAAACCAGCGGATCGATCCACTATAAACCTCCAAATGGGCACCAACAAATGTGCCAGCATGGTGAGGCTGCATGCTGCATTAACACCAAAATCACCGTAATTATGAGATGAGCACTCTGTTCATGTCCTCCTCGGATACTGAGGATTATTATTTATATGTCAACACTCATAATAGCAAAATGGATGCATGTGTGGCTTGATTACTGATGACAGTAAAACACTTACACCATCAATTAACCTCCATGCTACTGAAAAATACTGAACAATTCAGAAAGCACACTGGACAGTTCTAGGAAAGTTGAAGAATGCAATTTTAATATGTTCAATATATTAACTTTGTCTTTGTCCTGCTGTAGGCTGGAATGTTTGCTCTTGGCACGGCGAGACAGGTGACAGAAAAGAATGTGAATCTAGACCCGGTGGACACTACAACCGTGTCTCTGCAGATGGGAACCAACAAAGTGGCATCTCAGAGCGGCCTCACCCCGATGGGAGGCTCACGTCTAGTGTACGACCACAAATACTGCGCCAAGCCTAATGAACAAGACGGCATTGACTTTCTTAATTAATACACTTACACTCTGGTATTCAGCATTGGTAGACGATGTCCCTTTCTCCTGATCCCAGACCAGCTTAACTAAAACAAATAATCATCTTTACGTGGACAATGTATTAGGCATACAGTGCTTAATTAGAGAATCAATTAAGTTGCTATCTGGTTAGTTTAAAGGGGATCATCTACCACACAAAAACTCCAAATCGAATGGTTTAGGTGCTTCATTATGGGTCAGTCATAGTCTGCCTTATATATTAACCTTTGTCTTTAAATTCCTCAACATTTGATGTAATTGGTCTTTAGTGTCAGAATATCAGAAGTTACAAAGGTGATTAAACATAAACCAAAAATCATCAGTAAGTGTCTATGTCTATGTTATTTGTCTGAAGTGGGATAGGAGCAAGACCCTGTCTCCTACATTTGGTTCCTTGCCATCAGTGGTTAATTTATATTCTGTAGGGTCATTAAACAAAAAATGTTGTTTAATTGTTCACACTCAAAAAAACAGATGAATGTTCAGAATATACATAGCGTAAGTATTGCGTTAGTGTTGCAGTTTGCACATTTGACACTTTTGAACTTTTCAGCCTGTGCTTGCATATGCCTGCTTAATGTTTGAAATGTTTAAGCAGCAAGAAACAAAACATTTCTTGGTGGCTGCACATATATAATTATTGTTTGTCACTATTTCATTACTATTATCATTTTAATTGTTGCAAAAAACATGATTGCCTTAGTCCTAGTCCTAGGCCTATATCCTTACGAAATCTATTGACAGTATTATGGACAGTGATGGTGACTTTAGCATAAAACTGAATGATTATATTGGACCATGGCACCAAGGTTCTTCAAAAAATAGCCTACAGTGGAATTACCATAGTTCCATGTCCATATGATACACTGTCCGGGAAAAAAAAATAGTAGAACCATGGTAGGCTACTTTTTGGCACTTTCAGTGCATTCTGAATATAAAACAATATATTTTATTGCGGATAATAAACACTGACCAAACAAACATGTCCTCTCGTTTTTACTTTTTCTCTCCACTAGCAGGGGGAGCCACTGACACACTCACCCTACATCTAAACGTCTCTGAAGGGAGGAAACAAACTTGTCCTTCCTTTGAAGGACCTGTTTCAAAGAGCCACATAAAAACCGATTCAATTAATCTTTTAAAGGGGTCATATGTTGTTGCTAAAAAGAACATTATTTTGTGTATTTGGTGTAATGAAATGTGTTTATGTGGTTTAAGGTTAAAAAAACACATTATTTTCCACATACTGTACATTATTGTTTCTCCTCTATGCCCCGCCTTTCTGAAACGTGTAGATTTTTACAAAGCTCATCGGTCTGAAAAGCGAGGTGTGCTCTGATTGGCCAGCTATCCAGTGCGTTGTGATTGGCCGAATACCTCAAGCTTGTGATGGAAATGTTACGCCCCTCACCATACAGTAATGCCATCTCCCGGCACGACCAGACAAAACCAATAAAGACCCATTACAAATGAAGCATTTGTTGCATCCAGTGGGGACATAATTACGGATTATAATGACTTACTGTCTTTTTCGCGTTGCGTTGCATCGCGCCGCGTAAACATAAAACCATGTCTGCATTTGTGATCGGAGAAATGACAAACAACAAGTGCTACTCTACACTGCTCAAAACTCGCGTTTGAATCGTCAGTGGCAAATTCTTTAAATATAAAAAACGTACTTACAGTCTATGAGTCAGAACAGCCGGCAGATCAGGAAACGTCTGAATATTTGGGTTGAAGTGTTCTGGAACAGTGTTGTAAATCCGGCTTGAGAACGGCGCGGCCAGCGAATTCGACGAAGGAGGCTTGCGGCAACCACATGTGACGACCCCGGGCTGGACTCCGCTTCGTCCACGGTGAAAGCCGATCCGGTGATCCACAGCGCAAAGTTGATGTATTTCCTCAGCGACCAGCACGGATCAGCTCCAGGCATGACGAAGCAGATATCGTCCTCTTTTGGAAGACCAAACAAAGTAGTTTCGCTTTCACAACGAAACACAGCATCTCCACAACATAGCGCCGGCGGCTACAGCGAGAATAAAAGTTACGCTTTCTTTCTTTGCGTGAACATTTGGGCGGCGTTATGCAAATCTTCCCACATAGTGACATAGACATGTGGGGGCGTGTTAGAATGAGCCGTTTTAGGTAGGTGTGGTTGACTCTTAACTTTTATAAAGAATATCTCTTTGGATTTGAGACTTTAGTCTGCAACTTTACAGATCTTCTTTATGCACCAAGAGCTTGTAACGCTCCAAAGAGAAAGGAAAACTTGAAATCGCATCATATGTTAAGCCGTGACGCATAACGTCATCACGGTCCCCACTTGTTGATCATGACAGGTGTGAGCATATATTGTTGTTTATAATGTTTTTGTGCCTACGTTAATATCAATAATATAAAATAGAATCTAAATGCTGCTAATTTAATTAAAACCAATGCTTTGATAAAACTTTCAAACCATAAACTAATTACAGTATGTTTCATTTAACTTATATTTTGACCCATCCATTAAATCCTACTTTCACTCCAGACGCCCACTATGTCGCTCTTAGCTTTTACCTTTTACCTTAGTAAGTCCTCTTTTATGAACCTCTTCAACCGATTCTTTGATAAGATCCGACTCATTAGAGCGATTCTCCTTGAACAGAACATGCACGTGGCACGTGCTTCTAGTTGTCACCTGAGGTTGGCAGACATGTCTCAACAGGTATTATATCAAAACATTCTCACATTTTGTGCTATAAAAAGCGTTTCGTAACAAAATACGCACCTGGGTGAATTACAAAAAAGTACAAGTTTAAAATGTGTTATGTTAGTCACTTTTCTGAAACGCTGTGTTGTCAAAGAAGTGTAAATTACACATTAAAACACGCTGTAAATAAATTATTTCGTCATATATGTCCGTTTTTATGTGATTGCCACGATTTATAATTTCGGAGATTAGGATAGATGTGCAAAAATAATCAATTACATTATGCTAACGTTTCAAAGTACTAGCCTATACAACGCTCTGGGATGCTTTCTTCTCATTGGTCAATCAAGCCATTTCGCAGTGAAGTATTTATTATTATTATTATTTGCTTTAAACGAACAGGGAACATTAATAGCCTGTACTTTATATGTTGCAGTTGTAAAGTAGGCCTATTTTTGTCAAATAAACTACAATCGTACCTGGCTACCGATTTCCCACATAACTGTGTTAGTTAGTTAGTCTTGTACCTTTAAATATAAATGTACATATAAATATAAATATTGTTTTGAGGTGTATTATTTAGGTGATACGACTGCAACCAAGTAGTAAGATGAATGTTTACTGAAACTGGAATACAATTAAGTGGTAATTATACAAAAGCATTTGATTGCAGAATCAGACCTGAAAAGTACCTGAGCAATAATTGCAACATGGATAAAATTAATAGCATTTCTGTGGGTGGGCTCCATCCTTACAGGACCTGTTGGCTTTGACAACGGCCCTGATTTGGGAAAATGTCTGGTTGAGAGTTTGTGATCCCAATTGTGGTTAATAGAACGGTAGAACAAAATGTTCAACTTCAGGAATGTACGGTCTCTTTTTTTATTGTTCATAAAGTGTAATATAACGCTGCTTCACTTTCTAATCCGTTCTCTCTGTTTCTCAGATGTCATTTAAAGAGCTGATGAAGGTGTTAGGGCTGGGAGCCGTAGCTTTGGTTCTGGGGGTGGAGTGGCTAAACTGGCTGATGCGGCGTCTGAGAGACTCTCGCGGGCCCCTGAAAGAAGTTCTGTTCTTCCCTTCACCTCAAGTCTGCGTTGAGCACCTCTTCATACGCCATAAACATTTCCCCTGGTAGTTTGATCAGCTTTTTCTAATCTTACGGTCCTTGCACACTGAGACTGAAATTCTCATCTGAAATTTTCACATGTTAAATATAAATATGACCTCACGTTTACACACTGCCTCCGAAACTTTCTGACATAAAAAAAATAAATAAATATGATCAGTTTCGATTTTCTGCATTTTCGCATCCGTTGCAAGGATTTTGATAGGAACGGATGACGAATACGAAAAAAAATGCATATGAAAATTTCAGACTCAGTGTGCAAGGAGCTTTTATGTGCAATAATGTGGAAAACAACTCATTTGTCCACCCTCAGTGCATGTCCCCTTCCCCATGGGGTTGAGACGTCCTTCTCCAGGCTCCTCGTGCATCTCCTCTCTGCACGTATGTCACTGGACCTGTGTGTGTTCTCCTTCTCTCACATGGAGCTGAGCAGGGCGATTCTCCTGCTGCACAAATGGGGAGTTGTTGTGCGAGTGGTTACGGACAGAGACTACATGACCATCACTGGATCTCAGATCGGTGCCCTCCGTAAGGCAGGTGTGTTGTTGAATAAATGGGTTGGGTAAAATGGTTTTAAGTCCGTTATTTCCATTTTTTGCTGTAGTGTGTCAGTAGAAAATATCAGTTTACATTTCCAAACATTCGTTTAGTCTGTCTCAGTTTGCAGGTAGGTTTCTTGAAGCATCTTGGAGACGTTGCCACAGTTTTTCTGGATTTAGTCTGTCTCAGTTTGTTCTGTTTCTTCATGTCATTCCAGACAGACTGATGATGATGATGATGATGATGAGATCAGCACTGGATCAAAATCTCACTTGATTATTACAATTAATGGCAAAATTAATGTTTGGAAATGTACTAGTTGTTCTAATCATTTTGGCCACCATTGTATATATATTCATAGTAAAGACTCATATTGTTAGAAAAGATTTTAATTTTAAATAAATGCTGTTAAAAAAAATGTTAAATGCTTTTTAACTTTTTATTAATAAAAGAATCCAGAAAAAAGTATCAGTTTCCCAAAAAAAAAAAAACCATGAAGCAGCACAATTGTTTCCAACACTGATAATAAATCAGCACATTAGAATGATTTCTGAAGGATCATGTGACACTGAAGACTGGAGTAATGATGCTGAAAATTCAGCTTTGCATCACAGAAATAAATTATATTTTAAAGTATATTAAAACAGAAAACCCATACTAGAAATTGAAATAATATCTCACAATATTACATTTTTTTCTGTATTTTAGATCAAATAAATACAGCCTTGATGAGCACAAGAGACTCCATTAAAAATCTTACTGATCCCAAACTTTTGAACGGCTGTATATATATATATATATATATATATATACATATATTTATTTTTAATTTTTTTCAGAATTTAAGAATTTAATGTTGGGTTTTTTTTAAACAAATTCTCTTGTCTATGAAAATGTCTTATGTCTATAATGTCTGTGACGTAAGACGTTATTAATCTTCATTAATTAAATTTTTATTTCAAATGTATAAAATTCTAAAGTTCTAAGAATAAAAAAATAACATTTAAAAAAATTCTAAGAATAAAAAAAAAATCTAAAATTTAAAAAAAGAAAAACAATTCCCTCATTTTTCAAGGTTTTTACTGACTTCATAAACCTTATCATTATATTTAGCACGGGCCTGTCCTCACAACTCTGTGGTATGCATTATGAAAGGGTTTACAGTCAGAACTTGCACGACTGTTGCAGGTAGTAAAAACTGTCATTCTTACATAGATAACAACAGCCACACAGCTCACACAAGTTCTGTCTGGCTCAACCTTTGTTATTTCAGTACACACTGCTGTAACTTCTGCAAGCTGTTACACCCGGCTACTGCGGACTGTGATGATGCATTAGAGCAGACTTAAAGGATCTAGATGATTCATGGAGGGGTTTGACAGATGTCGAAGTCGCATCTGTTGTTAATTTGCAAGAGGATTTGGAGCTAATTGCTAGTTTCCGATCTGTTTTTGACCTCTGTTACAGGCATCTGTGTGAGGCATGAGATGAGCTCAGCTGTTCATATGCACCATAAGTTTGCATTGGTGGATGGCAGGAAACTGATCACTGGCTCCCTTAACTGGACCCTAACTGCAGTCCAGAGCAACAAAGAAAACGTCATGGTCACGGAGGAGCCGGAGCTCATGGGGCCCTATCAGCAGGAGTTCCAGAAGCTGTGGGAGGCCAACGATCCAGCCAATCACAAACCTCAATGCACTAATGAGCAGCTAAATATAAAGACTTGTAAGGACGGATAGGGCTTTACATTTGCTTTTTTTTTTTTTGGTTTACATTACATAGTTCTACATGAAGGAGTTCATTTTATTTGTCAAGATTACTTTTTAGAAGTTGAAAGCTAGTTTTCTTTCTTCTGACTGTTTGTCCGACTCTTAATGACAATTTTCCAGTTTTTTATGCAAATGTGGGCTTGAAAGGTTATTTATTTCAATTTGACTTAGTTCAGTTAATATAACTTTTTTAAGATGTGCCCTAGTTTAAGTAAAAACTAGTTCAAGTAAACCCATCTGCTAAAATAATATCTCTGATTATAAAAATCCAGTGTGTAAAGCAAGCTGAAACCTGTGAGTGTGCTTTTCATAGCCGTGCCTTTGATTGCTCAATTCCTGATGGCACTCGCCTTTTGTGTTCCTCTTTTGTGACTAGAAGATTTTAGATAAGCTTGTTTCTGTATGTGCACCTGAATATTAAATTTTTAAAAAAGGTAACAAAAAAGAGAAATGATAAAAATAACTTCTTATTTCCTGAGTTTAATGTTGGGGTTTCCTTTTGAATAAAGTTTAAACAGTGCATTAAATAAATAGTTGTTTTGTTATTATTTCAAATAAATATTTTTTTATTTTGTTTTTATATATTTTATAAATTATTTATATAGTAAATTGCTGATTAACTGGTAAAAACTGTCAGGTATTTAATTACATCGTACATAACTGATCATTGAAAAGTGGATATTTGTAGAAATGCCAGCTTTAAATTCTTATAAAAAGGCATGGTGTATATTCATGACATTGGCCAAAAAGCTTATGTAATTAAACTGTTGATCTTGTTACAGTTTTTTTTATTTTATATATATATATATATATCATTTGTATGTATTATATAAATTATTTATATAGTAAATAGCTGATTAACTGGTAAATAACTGTCAGGTATTTATATAGTACATAACTGGTCATTGAAAAGTGGATATTTGTAGAAATGCCAGCTTTAAATTCTTATAAAAAGGCATGGTGTATATTCATGACATTGGCCAAAAAGCTTAAGCTTAATTATGTAATAAAACTGTTGACCTTGTTACAGGTTTTTTATTTTTTTTATTTTTAGTGCTGTCAAATGATTAATCGCGATTAACACAGCATATTTTTCTTCAATATATACATGCATGTGTTTGTATTTATTTATACATAATGTACACAGTATAGCCTACACACGTATATTATGTTAACAAACATTTTTTGTTTTAGATGCGATTAATCGCGATTAATCGTTTGACAGCAATATTTATTTTATATATGTGTGTGTGTGTGTGTGTGTGGGGGTGTGTCTGTGTGTGTGTGTGTGTGTGTGGGGGTGTGTCTGTGTGTGTGTGTGTGTGTGTGGGGGTGTGTCTGTGTGTGTGTGTGTGTGTGTGGGGGTGTGTCTGTGTGTGTGTGTGTGTGTGTGGGGGTGTGTCTGTGTGTGTGTGTGTGTGTGTGGGGGTGTGTCTGTGTGTGTGTGTGTGTGTGTGGGGGTGTGTCTGTGTGTGTGTGTGTGTGTGTGGGGGTGTGTCTGTGTGTGTGTGTGTGTGTGTGGGGGTGTGTCTGTGTGTGTGTGTGTGTGTGTGGGGGTGTGTCTGTGTGTGTGTGTGTGTGTGTGGGGGTGTGTCTGTGTGTGTGTGTGTGTGTGTGGGGGTGTGTCTGTGTGTGTGTGTGTGTGTGTGGGGGTGTGTCTGTGTGTGTGTGTGTGTGTGTGGGGGTGTGTCTGTGTGTGTGTGTGTGTGTGTGGGGGTGTGTCTGTGTGTGTGTGTGTGTGTGTGGGGGTGTGTCTGTGTGTGTGTGTGTGTGTGTGGGGGTGTGTCTGTGTGTGTGTGTGTGTGTGTGGGGGTGTGTCTGTGTGTGTGTGTGTGTGTGTGGGGGTGTGTCTGTGTGTGTGTGTGTGTGTGTGGGGGTGTGTCTGTGTGTGTGTGTGTGTGTGTGGGGGTGTGTCTGTGTGTGTGTGTGTGTGTGTGGGGGTGTGTCTGTGTGTGTGTGTGTGTGTGTGGGGGTGTGTCTGTGTGTGTGTGTGTGTGTGTGGGGGTGTGTCTGTGTGTGTGTGTGTGTGTGTGGGGGTGTGTCTGTGTGTGTGTGTGTGTGTGTTTATATCATCATTTAAAAACGCTTATGACCCCCGTTTGACAGAATGCCCCGTATGTAAATCTCGAAGATACTGCTGCTGTGTGGCTGACAGGGGACCTGTTGATTGGTTGCTCTGTAAGTGCAGGCTGGACGCTCGCCAGGGCCGCTGACTGATCTGGAAACAGCCGTCGCAGTTTCGACGAGCCGTCAGCACAAATAAAGACTGGTCGACAGCCAGGTCGCTGCAGTCATCAAGCGTCTGGTTTTGCAACGCCCCTCTTTAGGGAAGGGAATGGTCGGCTATTAAACCGATAAGGCGAGTGGACCCTTTCCAGTGTGTTTTGCGGGAAAAGTGAAACTGGATCTGCGAGGACTGAATGTCCGAAAACAGCTGAGAAAAAGCGCAACATCAACTTTACAGAATAAAATAACCACCTCTAAGAACAGCCGGATAAGGTTAGTCACCCAGTTATGTTTGTGCCCGAAGGATACGCATTTTTTTTCTTTACTTGCTTACAGAAGAGAGATGTAGCCCAAGAAAGATGTCCATATGGAAGCACGATTAGAGCCGTTGCGTGTCCCTTTTAATCCCAAAATGCAGTTGGCATGCTCAGATGAATATTTTCTGAGTGTGTTTGATTTACAGATGTAAGCTGATACTGCATCAGATCAAATCTAACATGGCATCTAATCTTTATCTTTGCCTGTGCAAAAGAGATTCCTTATCATTTTATTTACAATTGCATAGAGTCACTTTGGCACTAATTTAAGTAAACTAACTTTTGGCATTGTGTTCATTCATATGTGTAAGGTGTGTCATATCCTGGTAAGTCCCTCTTCAGGTGCTTACAGGTGTAGATGTGATCACCTCTTTCTCATATGTTTGAGCAGGATGTTAATACTTGTTTAGTTTAAAAAAAAAGTCACATGTTATTGGAGGGTTTCTTTCATTTTTCTGAAATGAAGATTTTTCGAAGAGTCTTAATGCTGCTCTTTTCCATTAAGCGCTTCCATTAAGTCTGTCAGCCTCAAAAAAGGGCCATAAAATACTATAATAGTAATCCATATGATATATGAGCTGTATTTCAAGTCATACGATAGCTTGTGTGATGAACAGACTGGGATTTGTCATTTTTCACAGAAAAACTTCAGTCGTACCAGCATTGTCATTGTTTAGGACATTGATTGTACTGAAACTAAAACTTTAGAGAACATTTGTGACCCTGGACCACAAAACCAGTCGTAAGGCGCATTGTAGCAATAGCCAACGATACAGTATATGGGTCAAAATTATTGATTTTTCTTTTATGCCAAAAATCATTAGGATAGTAAGTAAAGTTCATGGTTCATGAAGATATTTTGTAAATTTCCTACCGTAAATATATCAAAACTTAATTTTTGATTAGTAATATGCATTGCTAAGGACTTAATTTGGACAACTTTAAAGGCGATTTTCTCAATAATTAGATTTTTTTTGCACTCTCAGATTCCAGATTTTGAAATAGTTGTATCTCGGCCAAATATTGTCCTATCCTAACCATACATCAATGGACGCTTATTTATTCAGCTTTCAAATGATGTATAAATCTGAATTTCAATAAATTGACCCTTATGACTGGTTTTGTGGTCCAGGGTCCCATTTTTGTTCATTTAAATAAAACTGAAATAAATAATCAGAAAAAAAACGTACTAACTGCAATTAAACTTGAAATAAAAGTACTAAAACACAAACTGAAATGAATATGAAATATAGATAAAAGATATTTTTATGTAATGAATAAAAATGGCTAAAACAAAATATAAACCAAAAATAAAAATAAATGCTAATTCAAATTATTAATACTAGTAAGTATATAATACTAAAATAGCACTGAGTAACAAAGTTTACACAAAATAAATATTTTTATTTTGTGAACTCTTCCTGAAGGTATTCTCATTATGTGCTTCCCACTTTAAGTACTGTTTTTATGGCCAGAATCAATTGTGCTGAGCTGGTCTCGGCTGTAATGGCTCTTAATCAAGGAAAGATCCTCACTCAGCATGTCTGATGTACAAAGAAAGTTAGATAGATAGATAGATGACACTGCTGGAAGAATACTTTAACTACATAGTAGAGTATCAGAGTATCAACAGGGCTTCAGTTAAATGGGCAAAGGGGGCACATCAGAGCCTCAGAGCCTGACATATGAAGGTGGTTTTCTTTTGTTTGACAAATGTTATTATTTACTTTCATTCTAAATGGTGACTATATAGCTTGTCTGTCTTACATTTCCACCCCTCTAGATGGCGTCGGCCAATGATACCCATCAGCAGGCGCAGGTGCAGAAGGATGTAGCCGATCAGAATTTTGACTACATGTTCAAGCTGCTCATCATTGGCAACAGCAGTGTGGGAAAAACTAGTTTTCTGTTCCGTTACGCTGACGACTCCTTCACCTCTGCGTTTGTCAGCACGGTCGGCATCGACTTTAAAGTCAAAACGGTGTACCGTAACGAGAAACGGGTCAAACTGCAAATATGGGTGAGTTTGAAAGATGGGACATTGGCGTTATTCAATAGTTAAAATGAGGATGGTGAGTAGTATTTATAAAAATATCTGTTCATTCAAGATCTAGACTAATTGCATTGATGTTTTGCGGAGAATAGTGTGCCACACCACAACCATAATGATAACGATACAGAGTGATGTTGTTGGAATCATTTTCAGAAGGATTTTTTTTCTAGCTGATGAATGAAAAAAACAATGACAGCCAATCAGAATCCATCTTGCTTTTTATGCGCTTGAGCATTTAAAGCGGCAGATGACAAAACTGCAGCGTGCGCTTAAAATAAACAGAACATTATCGTCCCTTGCTAATTTAGTTATCATTATTGTTATTTTTATAGTTATCTTTCTTGGTGTAAACGACAGGGTTGCCAAGTCCAGGAATTGGGCTACTTTTACACTGTTGCTGTGGGTTGTTTTTTTTAGTCCGTGGATTAAAGTGATCTCTCTTAATCCGTGTATCATTCGATCATTCGTTTTTTGATTTTATATTGAAAGTAGAAAAATTAGAAAATGGCTCTTTTTTTGTTTTTTTGTTTTTTTCCGAAAAATACTGATGATGGCATGGTTTGATCTTCGGCTGACCAATCAGCAGAAAGGGGTGTTTAATTCCCGCCCACATGTAGAAATTGAATATTCAAGCAGTTTATTCATTTTTCCACCCATGAACGAAAAACGAAAATTTAAGCTGAATTCTTGTTTTTAATTTTTTGGATAAAAACGAAAAAACGAAAAAGGAGCCGTTTTCTCATTTTTCTACTTTCAATATTAAATAAAAAAACGAATGATTGAATGATACACAGATTTCTCTTCCACCTCCGGGAATGCGATTTCGATGGAGTGGACCCACGACTAAGCGGAAAAAAGCAATTGGGTTGGTTTTGTTTCACAGACCTGGCAACCCTGGTGACAAGGCCTTAACTTCCTATTCATTTTCCCATAGGGTTTCATTAAACAGTTATAAGCCATAAACCATTTAAAATTTTGATTTCAAGCAAAAAAGTATTTGAAAGTCAGACAAAAGACAAAAGTACAAGACTGTGTACTTAACTGCTTTAATGAGGGAAAGAAATACAGTCCACATTGAATATGACATTTTTACAATTATTTAAGAAAAAAATTGGTTTAAATGTAGGCTGATGGCTTCAACAGAAGCAAATACCATTGATTAACCACCTCAAAGTAGGTCTATCTTAAAAGGTTTATAAGTTATTTTTAAAAATCAGTTCCCCTATGGAGAAAATGAATAGGATTTTTTACTTCTAGATCCCGACTGCAGTACTCTGTGAGACATTTGGTGCAACGCTTTTGGTTCCCATAGTTGTAATGCATTCTGTGTCATTGCAGTTATTTCGGAAGAATAATTTTGTGACTTTACTCCGTTACGATTCTTAAAAAATGTTATTGCCAAAGTCAAATGTGGTGAAAAGAGGATATGCTTATCATATGTCAGCATGACTTACTGATACCTTGATCAAGATAATCTAGGTGAGGTGTGTGTTTCAGCAATGAAGGTTATTGTTACAAAACATCCAGAATGACCCAAAGCAGATGGCCCCATCATTTGATGCATTATTTGTGAAGCAAGCACACACACACACACACACACACAAGGCCAAATCCATTTTGAGGCAACCTTTAGAAAATAAAAGCCATAAAATCAAATTGGGTGTGCTTTTTGACCATCCAGACCAGCCATGCATCTGCCTCTGCTCTGAATCACTAATTAAATCAATACCAAGATATCAACTGCCCAGTCCTGCCAAGAGTGTAGTTCTATGTAGGGCTGCTCAATTAATCGAATTTCTAATCGCGATTACAATTATGGATGCCACAATTACGTAATCGTTCAAAGTCCACTTATGTTATTCTGCGTGCTTAAGATGCCTTTTTTTCTACATGTTATCTTAAGGGTTTTTCCATTGTTTTAATTTTAGTATAACATTATAATACCATTCATATTTTTACTTTTTTTATAATTTAAAGAAGAAACCAATCCGATGTATATTTGACATTTGAAACTTACTACTATTGAAAAGCACTAAAAGTTTTTCAGTTAGAGTGTTTTCAGCTTGTTTATTTTCATATAAAAATACGGCATGCAGTTGCGTCAAACAATGGTATAAACATCATTCAATGTCAACTGTGATAATCATAATTAATAATCGCAATTACAATTTCAAGGGAATAATCGACAATTATGATTTTTGTCATAATCGTGCAGCCCTAGTTCTAAGTGAAATATACAGTTACATTCTGTAAATTCTGACACTGTAATTTTAATTGTTATTGCTGTGCGCCAGTTCGCAGCCGCAGACATCCTCGACAGACGAAGCGACAGCACTTTCTGTTGATGAAAGGAAGTGGGTGAGCACCTCAGAGGTGTTGAGTATGGTTTTCCCAGAATGCACTTATGTGTTGATAACCCACCATAGAACAACTCGGCTCTGACTGCAGTGGTCTGAGACTGACTAGAATAGAGCAACTATAGCTTTTTACATGCACGCCTAGTTTGGTTTGGTACCTGGACAGTGATTGCTGTGATATTTGGTATGTTTTTGGCACATTGTAATGTATTGCTAGGGTGTTGTTTTATGGCCCAAGTCAATAGAGTCCACCATCAAGTCTTTATGATATTCAGCTTTCTTGGGTATTTTTTATTTATGTATATTTTTCACCATATTTTTATCATTAGCCAAGTGAAAGTTGTATGTAAAAACGGCATCATGTCAAGTCTGATAGGCTGATGCACCACTGATGGCACAGTCCCAATTGATGTATCATATTACACTGATGCTTTATCATACATTAGATCAGAGGTTTCACTTTAGGATGCACATTTTACATTGGATATCAAGTGACGACCCAATGCATGGGTGTATTTATTTATTTATTTATTTACAATATCAAATATGTTTACCGTACAAGTTTATTAGACAAAAACTTGAATTGCATGCAAATGCAATTTCCCTGTGAATCCATACTTAATGTAGTCTAAATGCAGTTTTCTTCTAAATCTATCTATTTATTTTATTCTCTTGCAAGGTTGTATGCTTAGTTGCATTTTATTATTTGCATTAAGCATTGAGATCCAAGAGCGCAGGCCAAGCCTTGTGATGTGTGTGTGTGTGTGTGTATTTAGAGGGTGGGGAAGACACAGAGACTTTTCTCTTGACTAAGTGTTTGGAGATGTTTAGTTAATAATCAGTTTTATTGACTATATTGCTAGCAATGAGAATGTGCAGTATGAAGTAAGTCAATAATGTTTGTGTCTCCATACATGCAAGTTTATTATTAAACGTTCCACTAATAAGGTGAAAAATAGGGCCTTAAAGTGTTCAAATGTATGCGTTTATTATTATTATTATTATTTATTCATTCGTTCTTTTTGAATAAATTGTCAGTGAATGTAAATATTATGTCTAATTAATTAATACAGTTAATTAGAATTTTTATATTTTTCAATTTTGTTTTATTTTTTTATTATTATTTATTTGATCAAAATAACACCATTCTTGTATGATTTTAATCTACAAGTTCATTTCAAAAGGTGCAAATCCTCATTAAAAGAGCTTAAGGTGTGTATAATAGTTGATCTAATATTCTTTAGTTCCTGTAACACAAATGGGATTTATGCGTCCAGTGCTTTTTATAAACTCTTTGGACACCAAAGTGTACCTTATTTGTGGAAAGTACTTTATATGTGCGTGTTCACTTTTACATTTCTCTGTTTACTTAAAGGAGGAGTTCTTGATTTTAAAACAATGACGAAAGTAATTTTAGTCATTTTGCTATGAAGGAAGAGCAAATATTATACATTACATTAGATTAGTCATCAGAGCTCTGAACATTCTGTATTATTGACACAGTCAGGGATGTTGAATTAAAATGTCATTGACATTTCCTGACTCCAAGGCTTGCTTTAAGATCTTTCACAGTAGGCATAATGTTTATAGATATGATTGACTTGTCTTTGTTCTGAAGTCGTCATGCGTGTGTGTGAAGGGCAGGTGGCACATTTTATCTCATTTAAGGGGCTGAGGCTTTTGTCAAGCTCCCATTAGTCTGAATTCGGCTCTTCCCCTAAAATACAATACATGCATATATACAAGCCTCGAACAGCTGCCTGAACCAATGGTTACCATGGTTATCTTCATAGGTGAGGTCACAGCATTCTAAATCAAGTCAAGGCTTCTCAGTATCATGGAAACTAATCAAACGTTGCCTAGTTACCACATTAACGTGGCTGTTAAACTCTAAACCTCTGACTCTGCTTTGTTTGCATTGCATTTACTTGATTAGTTAGTTTCTTTTTTTATTTACACATAACGTACATTTTATATTGACAGAAATTAGGCAAATTGTCAAATATTTATATTTTTCATTGACTTGAAATTATGAAATTATCCAACATTGTCAGTATTGCTGCGATTTTTAAACACAACTTTTTGTTTAGCCATCAGGTTTTATAAAGATGACAAATATTACAATTTGCTAAATTAATAATGTGAAAAGCAGTGTGGTAAACATTTTTAACTAGATATTTTATGTTTTAGATATTTTACTTGCATTAAACCGTATGAGTCTCTATATAATATTATATTTTATATATATATATATATATGTGTGTGTGATTTTATATTATATACATTTTTTGATGCACTATGATATAGGGGATATGGGGAAGTCGTGGCCTAATGGTTAGAGAGTCGGACTCATAACCCAAAGGTTGTGGGTTTGAGTCTCGTACCGGCAGGGATTGTTGGTGGGGGGAGTGAATGTACAGCGCTCTCTCCCACCTTCAATAGCACGACAAGGTGCCCTTGAGCAAGGCACCGAACCCCCAACTGCTCCCTGGGCGCCGCAGCATAAATGGCTGCCCACTGCTCCGGGTGTGTGTTCACGGTTTGTGTGTGTTCACTGCTGTGTGTGTGTGCACTTTGGATGGGTAAATGCAGAGCACTAATTCCGAGTATGGGTCACCATACTTGGCCACATGTCACTTCACTAATATAGTTTTTTTTGTTGCACATAATTAATGGTGAAATATCCCACTTTTTCAAAGTCAGTGCTCTACTGGAATATTAGACTCTATACTAACAAGAATTAACAGCAGCGAATCATTTTAAATAATAATATGAGGTTGACTCTAAACAAAGCAATGAACGCTTGTTTCAGCAGGGTTTCTGCTGTACAGTGATTTAAGAAAAAATGCTTTTAGATATAAGTTATGAGTGTGTGTGGCTTATTGTTTGCGCTCCCTGAAGAAGGCTTGTGCCGAAACGCGTTGGAGAGTTTTTAGATTTCTTGGATGTAGCCATTTGATAATAAAGGCTTTTTAATTCACAAGAGTGCCATGGTCATTCTGAAGTATTCTTTGATGGACTATTATAAACCCTAGACCAGAGAGCACCTTGACCTTACAGCACCAGAACCCCGAGACGCACTCTCTACTATTGGACTTTGTGTGTGTGTATTTATTGACCTAAAGGAATAGCGAAAAGAGACGTTAATGGCTGTATTTCTTGTATGTTGTTCCTCAGGACACAGCAGGGCAGGAGAGGTACCGCACTATTACCACAGCGTACTACAGAGGGGCCATGGGCTTCCTGCTAATGTACGACATCACTAACCAAGACTCCTTCTACGCTGTGCAAGACTGGTGAGTTTACTTTCTTTATTTATAGTCCTAGAGTCAGAGGTCCTGCTATGACCACAGGTAGTGGGAGTGATTGAAAGGTCAAATGTTAATTTTTAAAGTTCCACACATTTCATAACGACCTCCAAGGGGGCGCTCATGAGCATGAAACTGACTGAATTTCTGTGTGTGTGTGTGTGTGTTTTCCAGGGCAACTCAGATTAAAACGTACTCGTGGGACAACGCTCAGGTGATTCTGGTGGGAAACAAATGTGATATGGAGGACGACAGACTGGTGTCCAGAGAGGATGGAGAGAGACTGGCTAATGAGCTAGGCATGTTACAGGACAATAAAAAACAACATTCACACACACAAGCCTGTAAATGGAGGTTCCAAAATGAACTTTTTTGCAATCCCTGAAAAAAAAATTCTTATTGGCTATTACATTTTTAGATTTTTTGTTTTAGATATGTAGTGTAGTGTTATACTGTAGGTAGTGATCGACCAGTATGGATTTTTTTTATGGCTGATATAAAATGTATATTTATGATATCACACTATTCAATTTAAAGATAGCAAATAACACATGCATGACAATTTCTGTAATTACATGTATAGTTATTTTACATAGTATTTAAAAAATGAAAATAAATCAATTAGAAAAATTATTTGATTTAAAAAAGAAATTGGAAGATGGAGAATAGGTCCTTTATTTGTCTGTCAAAATAAAAGTCCCACATATCGGCCAAACAGACAAACTTACAAAAATGTCATTATTACAAGCAGAATACATTCACTTATAATTATTGGTCAGCTAATATTTGCTGTTTTTTAAATTATCCACATCAGCTGACTGTTAATTATATGTGAATAATGTATTTATTCTGATTGTAAAAATAATACGTTGGGGTTAGTAAATGATACAGTTTTATTTAAATACAATATTTGTCAAATTTCATACTTATTGTATGACTCTATATCTCTTTCACTTTTTCTCTCTTTCTCTGCCGTCTTTTTGCAGGCTTCCAGTTTTTCGAGGCCAGTGCGAAGGATAACATTAACGTCAAGCAGGTGTTTGAGCGGCTGGTCGATATCATCTGTGACAAAATGAACGAGAGCTTGGATGGAGACCCGAGCATGTTAACCAATCACAAAGGCCCGAGTCTGCAAGACATGCCCCCTGATGCACAGAGCAGCTGTGGATGTTAATGATCGTCTCTCAGCAAACACTCATCCCTGAAGGCAAACATTCACACACATGCACACACTCCCTCTCTCGCTCTAACACACGTATACCGGAAGAGAGACAGCCAATATATAGTATGAAATGCCATCCAGACAGTAAGAATACGGCATAAGCCCCTTAAAATGAATCATTTGAGTCACATAGACAGGCCCCTCAGGGATGGGTTTCCCTCAGTGTGATGTGTGGCTGCTAATACACTGAACTGTGACATCATGACGAGAACAGCCGGGAAAATACTGCATGAAACTGCAGAAATCAGAAAATCACATGCCAAAGTCTTAACTGAATGCTCAACGTTTTAGGAGAGTTTCAAACTACTGCAGTGTCTGTTCTGTTTACAACATGCTCAGATAAAATGCATCTGGTCGTCATTGTGACGTAGCTTTGAAATGTATACAGATTATTTTAATGGATGCAAGATCATTGTTTTACTTCGTTATAGGCGATAAACATTTTAGGACTGCTCTGGAAATGATTGTCAGTCTTCATAGTTTTTGTTACTTGTTTCAAAGCAAGTCATATTATATTGGTCTTTGCCATTTGCTTTAAAAACAATAAATTTGCTTCCCTGTGGACACTAAAGGAGTATTTGTATAATGTATATATTTATAAAAATATATAAATGAATTAAAAAAATAAACATTTTACACACACACACACACGTATATATATATAGTTTATATATACAGTGCCTTTCAAAAGTATTCATACCCCCTTTTTCACGTTTTGTTATGTTGCTGCCTTATGTTAAACTGCTTTAAATTACTTTTTTCCCACATCAATCTACACTCCATACACCATACTGACAAAGCAAAACAGAATTGCCACAACTTTGTAAATTTATTACAAAAAAAAAAAACTCAGATGCACATTTTCAGGTTTCTCCAAAAATATTTGATTGGGTTCAAGCTCAGGCTCTTGCTGGGCCACTCAAGGGCATTCACAGAGTTATCTATAACACCGTGGCCACACCGGACGCGAGCGGTGCGGCGCAACGCAACAAATACAATAGAACCTATTATGCGGTCTACACTGGATGCGGCGTGACAAATTCCCGACAGTAAACTGCGGCTGTGTTCTATTTATGACGTACTGACACAAACTTCAAATTATTTTCAACGGTCACTTTGTCGCATCCAGTGTAGACAGACTTTAGCTGTTGCGGCGCAGCACGACACGACACCTGTCGTGTCCGGTGTATACACAGTGTAAGCCACACTTGCTGTGTGCTTAGGGTCATTGTCCTGGTGGAAGGTGAACCTTCTGCCCAGTCTGAGGTTCTGAATGCTCTGGACTGGGTTTTCATTAAGGCTATCTCGATATTTTGGTGCATTGAGCTTTTCTTCTGCTCTGACGAGTCCCTCAGCATGAGGCTGCTACCAGCACACTTTACTTTTGGGATGGTACTCCGCAGGTGATTAGTAGTGCCTGGATTAATTTCAATATGATGCTTGGAATTGAGGTTCATCAGACCAGAGAATACTGTTTCTCACAGTCTGAGGGTCCTTTAAGTGCTTTTTTTGCAAATTCTAAGTGTGTTTTCATGTGTCCTCACTGAGGAGAGGATTGAGTTTGGTCACACCAGCATAAAGCCCAGATCAGTGGAGTGTTGCAGTGAGGTTTGTCCTTCTGTAGATTTCTCCTATCTCCACATATCATCATGGAGCTCAAATAGAGTGACCATCAGCTTCTTGGTCACCACTCAAACCAAAGCCCTTCTCCATCAATTGCTCAGTTTGGCCAGGAGGCCAGCTCTAGGAAGAGTCCTGGTTGTTTCAAACTTCTTCCATTAAGGGTAACAGAGACTACATACTTCTCTGACCCTTCAATGCAACAGATTTTTGTTCTGAACTCTTCCACAGATGTGTGGCTTGACGCAGACCTGTTTCTGAGCTCTACAGGCAGTTATTTTGTCCTCATGGCTTGGTTTTTTGCTCTGATATACATTATCAGCTGTTAGACCTTTTATTAAGACATGTGTGCCTTTCCAAATCATACACATTCAATTGAATTTGCCACAGGTTAACTTCACTCGAAATGTAGTAACATCTACAAGCAATATGAATGCTCCTGAGCTAAGCGCAGGGGCCCGATGCGACCGCACCAGTTGCACCGCCCAAAGGACTGCCCTGTGAATACTTATGCAATGGAATCATTCAAGTTTTTTTTTTATATAAAAATATATACGCAAGGCACTGTTTATACACACACAAAATGTGTGAGGTCACAGATGTATCTATTGATGATCACTTTTTTAATCAGTTTATCTGCATTTGTGGTTGACCTGCCTGCTTTTGTTGTAGGACATATGCTTGTGGTCATTGTGCATGGTACAGCATTTCCTTTTGCATGAACCTTATATACTTTTGAGGATGTGAGCATTAGCACCTCTAGAAGAACCTTGTGTAGGTGGGAAATGCACAGCAGGAAAATAAGAGCGTGACCACATTCTATAAGGGTGAGAACATTTAAGAGCTGCCAAGACACATTTATGCCAGAATCCCTTCTCCACTCAGGGATTGTTTGATATTGCTGCTGATCTGCCAGGCTGCATCACACTGATGTGAGTATGTCTTTCTGTCTGTACCTGATTCTGTAAGTTCCTCAAAATGAGAGTTCCTTTGACACAAATTTAAATTTTTTTTTTTTTTTTTTTTTGAGTGAATTTGACAGGTGCAAACAATACTTTTAGACCGGGTTAATTAGTCAATTCTAGGTTTAAGGTGTAAAAATATTAGACTCTAAAATGCATTCTACATCGAAAAGTTTTATTTTTTAATATCAAGTTTTTAGTTTAAAGTTTATTTACTGTAAAGTATTTATTTAGTAACTGTTCTAACCATGTTTTTTTTTTTCTTTTCTCAAACTTAGCTGTCTGCCTTCATGTTCCTACGGTAACACAAGTGAATGTTAGAAATGTGTTCACGCGGTGTGATTAATTTTTTTGAAGTAAAAAATGTAGTATCATGTATAACAAAAAATAATTGTTTTAGAATTAATTGTAGACATGTAGAATTACACTGAAGGGCACTGATTGACTTCTCTGTCAACTATGATAATCATCATGAGAAATCCGCCATGAAAAAATAAAAAACAACTCCAGGGGAATAGCCTGCAATCTGGCAATATATACAAGAGATATTTCTGACTTGATTAAAGCTGAGCTGAATTGAATATGGTATATTTGGGGCAAAATCATTCAAAACTAACCTACTCTAACACAGTTGTTGTTTGTATCTTTAATGTCAAGGAAAAAGAAACAACCGATAAAGAGTTTCTAGAGAAACAGAGAGGGGATTTCTCATTGTAATAACAGACCTGAAGAGAGTGGTAGAAGAATGAAGAAGTACTCTAGTAAAGCATAATCACAAACTGAGAACACAGGAAAGGCGGTGGGTTAGTTAGTCAAAGGACATTTGACAACTGCTATTGTTGTTCCATTTGCCCATGAGATGCGTTAACTATGCCAGAAGAGAGTCCTCTAGTGCCACAAAAATGTGATGACACCCGTACAGAAAGCGATTGTGAAATAAATTGAATGGACGCACCACTAGCAGATCAGACTAAAGATATATTTAAATTACCGATAAGTGTTGATAAATGATCATCAGCTAGTTAATTTATCTAGTCAAGAATTTACAACTTGAGGTGGACAGTAACGAAGTACATTTACTTGAGTACTGTACTTCAGGACACTTTTTGAGTATCTGTACTTTACTTGAGTATTATTTTTTCTGGAAACTTGCTACTTCAACTTCACTACATTTGAAAGACAAATATCGTACTTTTTACTCCGCTACATTTATATCAAGGTCTCCAAGTAGAAAGTCGTTATGTAGGAGTTTTTCCAGTGTGTGCATTTTCAGATTCACTGAACCCTTTTTTTTTTTCTGCGAAAATCCGGCCTGCGATTTGCCAGGGCCTTCCAGTGTTGCCAAGTCTTACAGTATTTATAAGCCTGCAGTTTTCCGCCTGGAATGGATATTTGGCTGATTTTTTTGACGCAAATCTGGCAACCTCGGGAAACTAATGCTGGGTACACACTAAACGATTTTTAAAATCTTATAAGATCTTCAAAATGTGAGAGACCACAAACATGAGGAAAAAAACAAAATCCTAGATTTAACTGTCTTGCTCCTATAGTGTGTGGTGTGCTGCATGTTCCCCCCACGCATCAGGATTTCTGATCGTAAATATTCAAAATGTTAAATATTTACGATTCACGATCGGGGCGCCTCCGACGCTCTTTCCGAGCAGATTCAGTCACTCTTAACACGCCTCACACCACACAGGAAAATCTGATAAGATAATCTTTAGAACCATCAAGATAATCGGGACATTACCTAGGATTGTCGGAAGGGGAGAAATCGGCCCAAAATCAGTCCGATTATCTTGTGGTGTGTACCCAGCATAATGTAAACGTCTGTGCAACTGCACAGCTAAAAGCTCTAAAAAGGCAAATAAGATAATAAAAGACGAAAAAGGCACATATTTATAGTGTGGTGTGATCATCTGTGTGTTGTTCACCACATTGATTTTAAAAAGACAACTGTATGTGATGCCTTATGCTGGGAACCCCGAAAACACCACACACTATAGGAGCAAAACGGTTAAATCTAGGATTTTTTTCCCCTCCTGTTTGTGGTCTCTCACATTTTGAAGATCTTATAAGATTTTAAAAATCTTTTAGTGTGTACCCAGCATTACATAGGCCGAGCACTACGATCAGTTTGATTTTTTTTAACGAAAACATCTGGCAACCTCTGAACCTTCCCCGCTAAACTAATGTTAACGTCTGTGCTACTGCACAGCTAAAAGTGCTCTAAAAAGGCAAATAAGATAATAAAAGACGAAAAAGGCACATATTTATAGTGTGGTGTGATCATCTGTGTGTTGTTCACCACATTGATTTTAAAAAGACAACTGTATGTGATGCCTTATGCTGGGAACCCCGAAAACACCACACACTATAGGAGCAAAACGGTTAAATCTAGGATTTTTTTCCCCTCCTGTTTGTGGTCTCTCACATTTTGAAGATCTTATAAGATTTTAAAAATCTTTTAGTGTGTACCCAGCATTACATAGGCCGAGCACTACGATCAAAGATCATAGAAGATAAATGCTGGCATACGGTAAATAAAAATAACCTACACCTTGATCTACATCACAAAGAAAATGTATAGTTTTTATTCTGTGTGAACTCGCATGTGTTAACTCATTAAAGCTCTTTGGAAAATTAACCATGTTTTTACTATAGTAACTAGTTTAATGGTATTTGCGGTAAACCCTTACAAAAAATGACTGCAGTTTTTGTTACATGTAGAAAAGTGTAGTTTTTTGGACACGAATAAAAACTGCATTAATGCCGTTCTACTGCAATACATCTGAAGTACTATTGAAATACAACTGCAGTAGAGCTGTTGTATTACTAACAAACAACTGCAATAGAACCGCAGTATTACTGCAATACAACTGAAGTAGTACTACAATTATACTGCAATAAAACTGCAGTAGTACTGTAATATATCATACAACTGAAGTACAATTCAATACAACCGAAGTGCAATACTAATCAAATGCTGTACAGTAACACTGAAATGCAACCAGAATATTCAGAACAACAATTTCTTTTTTGCACACATCTGCAATATAATGAATTAAGGTACAAAACAACAGTGAGTGTTTCAAACAGCAATGCAACAATTAATGATTTTACTTTGCTTTAAACTTAAAATAGCAGGCTGAGAGTTACACTAAATGTCCTTAATGCTTATTTACAAATCAGGCAATCATGCACATTTCTTCCCTCATTATTCAGGCAGGTTTCATTTTTTGAAGAGCTTATCCTCATCGTTCCGCTTGGTTCTTATGACTGCCTTTATGTCAGATGTGGAAACACTAGTTTGGATGTAGTCTGGACGAACAAACAAACAAAAACTATTAGAAATTCTCAAGTTTCAGTTACTCTTTTCACTACAGGCATATTTAATATGCTTCAAATAAATAAAAAAAAAGTGTTTGTGAAAAGTATTCATACTACACCCAGTTCATTTCTTATGGCATATTGTTGGTCAGAATTAACAATGACTACGTTTACATGGACATCAGTAATCTAATTATTCACCTTATTCTAAATAAGCCAATATTATGATTAAGGTGTTTACATGAGTTGCTTTTAGAATATTCCTTTCATGTTCCCGTTTAACATAGTTCGAATTTCACGTATAAACATATAGTTTGTCTTCGTGATGATGCCATGTACAGTTTTGGGTGTTTCATTTTTAATTTTATGAAAGCTTCAAGTACAGTTAATTATTTGTGCGTGCATACAGACGACGGCGGGTGTTGAGGCTCTTATTTGCCATCAAACGGTTGAGCACTGCCGTGTGTGTATCCTGTCACAAAATGCGGCGAAAAGTCCTACATGACGGTAATAATGTGATTAAGGTGTGTACATGTCTATACTGCACTTCAGTAATGCAACTAAAATAGGAATACTCCACATGTCTTCATTCGTGTTAATTTGTGTTTACTTCGATTATGACTTTAGCCGGATTACGGTAATCAAAAATCTCTGTTTACATGGTAGATTCTTAATCAGAGTATTGTCTTAATCATGTTAAAATCGGAATATTGTTGTCCATGTAAACGTACTCAATGTCTTTGAACAATCCAGGTAAAAGAAGTTAAAAGGTTGGTTCACCCAAAACTGAAAATTCTGTCATCAATTACTCACCCTCATGTCGTTCCGAACCCGCAAGTCTTTAGTTCATCTTCAGAACACAAATGAAGATCTTTATAATAAAAATCTCAGAGCTTTCTGTTGCTCCACTGACAGTCCATGCAACTACCCCTTGCACAATATCATGCATTTCTGGAAAAAAGCATAGACACAATCATGTTTAAATACTGTACAGAGTCCTCCACAATTATTTGCCCTCTTTATCATTTTGGTTTTTCGTTCAAAATTCTAACCTAATTTTTTAAACCTCTAAAAAAATACATAATAATAATTGAAAAAATATATAATTTACATATATATGTAAATATACTATTACGATACAGTATATAGAATATAGAATATATATTGAACCTTTATTTGACCCTCTAACTCTAACACTTTCTATTCTATTTAAATTCTACTTTATCTATATTTATCTTTTTTTTTTTTTAAACAAGAAAAAAAAAAAAACACTAGCCTTCTATTTTTTCTATTCTATCTACTTGTTTTTTCTTTGTGTGTGTGTGTAATATATATATATACACATACACCTTGCTACGTCTACTGCGTTAGGCTAACCGAGACTTGTCATTTGGACTTATATATTGTTGCTCTTTTGTTAGTTTTGACTGCTTTTATTGTCCTCATTTGTAAGTCGCTTTGGATAAAAGCGTCTGCTAAATGACTAAATAAATAAAAATACAAATAAATAAATATAGAATATATGTGTTCCACAGTTATTGTGCCCCCTTCATTTAATACTTTGTGTAACCTATAACCCTCTTCACACATAAGGGCTAATCCATGGCTAGGTGTGCATTACATGATTTTAATGCATGAGGTGGAGGAAAAGAACCACCCGACATGAAACGGGTTGCCTCCGTTGAAGTCGATTAAAATTCTGTAATACACACCTGTTAAAGCTAGGTTAAAATGTTAAGTTAAAGCTGCCCTTAATTAGTCACCCTTGTGTGGTTTCACACCCATAAGACCTTCATTCCTCTTTGGAACACAAAGAAAGATATTTTTAAAGAAATCAGAGAGCTTTCTGACCCTGCATAGACAGCAATGCAACTTACACATTCAAGTTCCAGAATGGTAGGAAAGACATCATTAAAGTAATTCATGTGACTGCAGTTGTTTTAACTCAATTTTATGAAGAGTGTTTGCGTCCAAAAAAAACAACACAAATTTACCACTTATTTACAAAAATATTGATCTGTTATGTGCATTCACGAGAGCATCAGAACGCATGAGTGTTGTGTTCATGCGATGGAAGACAAAACTGAGGTTAAACCACTGGAGTCACATGAATCAATTTCACAATGTCTTTAATAGAGGGCTCAGAAAGTTCTTGGATTTCATCAAAAATATCTTAATTTGTGTTTTGAAGATGAACAACGGTATTACGGGTTTGGAATGACATGAGGCTGAGTAATTAATGACAGAATTTTCATTTTTGGGTGAACTATCCCTTTAATGTTTGTGGAGTACAATTTGACTGGAAGGGTAAAACTAAGTAAATTTTCATTAGTTTGTTTGGTTACAGGTCATTAGATCTGGCGTTCTGACTGTATGTGCGTGCAACAGTAAAAGCCGCACATTCATTTAGAATGGTGATTGAACTGATTGTAATTTTCTATGCATTCATTGTTTTAATGCACACCTTCCAGTCAATCAGAGAGAATCAAAGAGTCCACAAGCAAACCGTTGCGAGCTGATGTTAAGCATTGAGAATAATTGCTGATATAACTAGATTTCGTTACCTTTCCACTCCCTCAGCTCTCTCTCTCTGTTTTCATACTGAATTGGCACTAATATTGTAGATCTTCTTTTAGCTCTTTGATTTCATTTAACTCCTCAATCTCGTCATGTCTGAAGATCTCTTGCATGGCTGAGGAGACAGAGTACTTGGTACACTTGATTTCTCCAGCACTCCCACAGGTCTTAGCTCCTGAAATACAATAGCAGTTATTATGTATTCTAAACTATAAAGATAATAGTTAATAAAATATCAAATAAATAAAGTAGATTACTGCTCACCATTTTTTGAGTGCTTATTTCACCACAGCCATCATCTTCTGTTGAATTATATTTTTGGTCTTCTTTTTCTAGTTTTTACCAGTGCATTTTCCTGAAAATAGCAATCACACACTAAAAAAATGTCAATTTTCACACATTAATGTCACACTACTCAACATAAATGCTGGTGTACAGTGATGTGACAAAAAAATCCAAATTTATTCTATTTTTGTGTATGTCCAGAACTAGATATTGTCAGATATATTTTTAATAACTTTAGTGAAGTGAAGTGACATGTGGCCAAGTATGGGGTGACCCATACTCGGAATTAGTGCTCTGCATTTATCCCATCCAAAGTACACACACACCGTGAACACACACCCGGAGCAGTGGGCAGCCATTTTTTGCAGCGGCGCCCGGGGAGCAGTTGGGGGTTCGGTGCCTTGGTCAAGGACACCTCAGTCGTGGTATTGAAGGTGGGAGAGAGCGCTGTACATTCACTCCCCCCACCTACAATCCCCGCCGGTACGAGACTCGACCCCGCAACCTTTGGGTTTCGAGTCCGACTCTCTAACCATTAGGCCACGACTACCCCTTTACCGTGATAAAAAATAATGATGCAAACAGAATTCACTTCTGCTGTGAAGCAGCTCTAAACAGTAAAGAGTGTCATTGTTCAGTTGAAATCAGTGTTGACTCATCTAGCAAAACAGTGGTGTCATCATCTAGCTCAGTTCAGTCCTCATCCAATAGTGTCAGTGGAGTCAGATCAATAATATTGCTGAATATTATGTGTCCCCAAATAAGCAAGCCAAAAGTCGACAGTGGCAAAGAACCCAAACACCATCAGGTGACAGAATGGAGAGGAAAAAAACCTTGCGAGAAAGTATGTTCAGTTTGGGGATCAGTTCTCCTCTGGCCAACAAATGAACATGGTGTGATTATGATTCAGGCTGCATCACAATTTAGTGTGAAACATACAGGACCGTAGGCCTACAAGTAGCTGGAGTTATTAATCTCATTTAAATACTATCTAAAATCAGGTTTACATTTGTGGCTGACTAGAATGTGAGTGACCTTTAATGCATTTCCAGAAATAACGTCTCACCGACATCTGTTGAGTGCCTTTTCGCTTTCCCTCTTCTCCTCTGTCCTAATGCTTCCTCTGTTACAAAGAGGGGTACACTGTACACTGAACACTTCTCAATGATTTTTTTCCTCATGTCAATCAGGGGTTGACGCTCTCCTAGAAACAAACAAACAAATACAGAGTATATTCAGTGCAATCTTGTCCATTCCATTATTATAAATGATGCACTGATGCTATTGGAAGGAGAACTGAACTGAGATGGACAATGACATGACTAATTTCAACAGATCTGCTTGTAACAAATTGCTGAGCCATAGCATAATTAATTGCATCTATACTCAGGGTTGTCACTAGTTGGATTGAGATGTTGATGTTTTATTAGATTTGATTTTAAGATTTTATAATAAGATTATAATTGGTTTTACTATAGTAAAAGTGTAGTAACAACAGCATTAAACCAGTTGTTTTGTCTTTCTATCAGACTTCAGTTCTGTGTGTGCTATCATAAGCGCCTCGCGCACTGAGCAGCGTGCGCTGCAGATCAGACCGGAAGCGGCGTTTCCTCTCATCTCAGCGGGCTGAATAAGATATCCGTGAAGTCTTTTTACATCTCTCTAAAATTATAACTAAAGATATATATGAGGACATTAGACATTATACTCACCGCTAAACTGTATGACTCGACAAAGCCAACGCTCCAACTCGCCTGATGAACTTCTCTTTTCTCACACTTGTTATTTCTTTGTGATAGTTCACATATGAATGATGTTGTCAAACCAAAACGTATTTTATACTTTTATATCCATCCTGCAGTAGACACAACGGAAAAGACGCTGATTTACCGTTATCTAGTGATGGGACGGATGGTACCGAGGCTCCGACGCAGTTTTCAAAGCACTGTTGTATCACACACTGTGCCGACGCTTGTACCGAAATGACAACATCACGTGATTGATGACGTTTGACACCAGACAGAAACTGAATGCACGTCGTCACACCTTTATTGCATTTGATCATGTTCTAGCTGGGGTCTCAGAGACCCCGAACAGCTCACCCAAAATATTTTTTGCTACTTCTCACATCAATTATTAATTATAATCACACACTTGTATATTTTATAATATTGATCAATATGTGAATCCATTGACCGGTGTAGTGCCGAAATTTGCACCCTGCCAGATTATACAGGTAGGTTTAGGAGTAGGTGTGGGGGAGGGGTTAGGATTAGGGGTGGGGTTAGGATTAGGCAATCAGGTAGCGACTTCAACAAGGGGGTGCATAATCTGGCAGGGGTGCAGAATTCGGCACAACGCCGGACTACGAGTTGGCACAGATTAAAAACTTTTTCAAACCATCCTCTGCTCCGCAATGTTTCGTTAGATATGGTGGAGAAACCGAGTCTGACCACCAGATGTCGCTAATGCGCACTGTGTTAAAAGCTTCGAGTAATGAACCGTTTTCCGACACAATTTGATGAAAGCCTCAAACATTTCAGAAAGCCTCGGTTTCTCATCACTACCGATTGATTTTTGCTTGGCGCAATGCCGAAAAGATGCTGTGTGGCGTTCTGTACCTCTAATAAGTAAAAAAAAATCCCTGCAATGATCTGTCGTTATGCTGCGTTCAAGTCCTCCTGGGACGTTCGTACTTACGAGTTGACAAGTCGTAATTACGACGTCAGGTGTGTTCAAGTCAGTTTAGTCGGCACAAGATGGCGGTGTACCTTCTTTTAATAAATTACAAGAAAATACAATAGGGTCTGTTAACTCTGCTTATAGAAAATGAAGAGCAAAGAATTCGCATCAGGTGTGTTTTGCGTTTTTAATAATTTTTTTAGACCAGGATCCCAGTATAACTGATTTTCAGTATCAACAAACGCTAAAATACAGAGATTAAAAAAAGCTGTTAGCTACATGCAACATGGCAAATCAAAAGATTTTTCACCTATAGGTGCAAAAATTATAGCATTTTTTTTACTTGGATTTCATTAACTAGCTGCGTAACAAGAACATGACCAATTTAAGTTTATAGGACAACTAAACTATCAATTTAACCAAAAATTTACCGTCAACTACAGACGTTGCATCCATCGATTCCGCCATGTTTCTCATTGACACGAAGAAAAATTTCGAGTTTCCCACTCATAATAACCACTTTATGGTGGCGTTCATGTGCGTTCAACTCGTAAATACGATCTATCCGACATGACTTGAACGCACCATTAGTCCCGTCCCCCGAACCCAGTTCTGATGGGGCTTACAGTAACCCTCCTTCGCATCGCAATCAAATAAATCTCACTCCCTGATATTTTGTGCTGTCATAATCTATTAAAACATTTATTTCATATTATTATACACAGTCCCTTACGAAAATTAGCAATGGTATTACTATAGTAAAAGTATAGTAGGCTAACCATGTTTAATTTTTTGGGCGTTTTTATTATAAATTGTAGCCAATATCCACAGTTTTACTACAAATACCATGGTTAAACTATGGTTAGTGTAGCAAAACATGTTGTTTTACCATGGTTTAACTATAGTAACCAATAACCATGTTTTTTATTTTTTGTATTTTATCTTTATTTCAGGGCATGTATTTATGAAAATAATTAGGCAGCCTGTAGCACACACCACATAGAATAACGCTGCGCATTTCAAGGCACTTCAGTGGACCTTAATGTTACCTGTTTTGTCAATGTTAAAAAACTTTTTAATATATCTGTAAGAAAGTACGACAGGCTTTTACTCAAGTCTTTATCACTTTATTAAAATTAAGCAAAACAAAACAACAAATGTTTACTTTCACAAGCCGTCTCGTATAGGCTTGCAGTAGCCTAAGCTGTCTCTTGCTCAATTAGGTAACAAAAAATGTCGGGAAACGACACCTCTGGTCATTCCGTTGGATCGTTTGTCCAGTCACAGATACCGTACGGACAGTCCGACCCAATACGGCTCAGTTTTTTGTACAAAAATATTTTTGTACGAATATTTTACAGGAAATTACATTACAAATTTTATTTTTTTATAAAAAAACACTTGCCAAGTCTACTGTAACCACAGCACTTGCTACATGTTGCACAATCATAGACTGTAGTGCACAATACAGCAAACTGCAGTACAGGGCCTATACATGAAGACTTTAATGGCAATGAAAAGAACCTCATTGCCATTAAAGTGAAATTACTGAACCTAATCGTAGGAGCTTTATTTTAAAAATGCTCATAAAAAAATTAATAAAATAAATTTAATCAGACAGACTTAGACGTTTTTGCATCTGAAATCTTCAAATGCATTTTAGAGTATTTTTTTATGCTATGCAATTATGCTATTTGTAGTAAAACTACAGTAACCGCAAATTTAAAAGAGTTTCATTATAGTAACTATAGATTAATATTTGTAGTTAAACTATGGCAATACAAATGGTAGGCTAATATATCCGTCAAAAATGGCTGCTATTACCATATATAAAAAAACCTTACTACTCAGGCCTACTGATAAATTGCTGCTAAAAACTGGTCAAGGAAGTATATAAATCTGAACATTATTTTATTGTCAAAACACTGCACATAAATACATATATTTTTTGCAAACAAATGATCAATAAGTAGGTTAAATGATCACACAGGTCAAAATGTTTTACTTCACTTTTTTACAACTTTGGAATCTAAATTGGGAATCGATAAGAATTTAAATCAATAAGCAGAAGCAGAATCGGAATGGATAAATGGATAAAATTCAAACAATACCCAACCCTATAGCCACATGTGAAGTTCACTGATTTCTGAGCATTTTATGAACACTGATCAGTTGATAGCAAAATTCAAAAAAACTTCTTTTTTTTCTTCTTTTTTTTTTATTAAGAGTGCAAAACATACAACATACGGTGAACACAAAAAACAGCAATGATAATAACAGCAATGAAAATAAACAGTGATGACCATCTGACAATAATAGTAGTAGTATTCAAGTAGTACTAGCATGCATAATAATAATAATACTAAAGATGGTGATGATAATAATACCGTGTGATGACGGCAACAGTAATATCAATATTAATAAAAGTAATGATAATAATAATAATAATAATAATGTAATAACAATCGTAATAATAATAATGCAATAATGACACATACCCAACCCATACCACACCTATTCTAGCCTCTGTGTCAATGTTTTTTTTGTTTGTTTTTTTCCTTTCCAATTCACGGTAAGATTACTATATGTATATGTATGTATGCCTAAGCTGATGTGGTGCATTAAAAGAAGCGTGTGGTGCATTAAAATCAGCAAAAAGACTTCTTTGGTGCAACGTGCACACCCATGGCCATACTGAGAGAGTATGTTCAAGTTTTCTGAAAATACTAAAGACTTGTTTTCTTTTCAATGTTTGCTTTGTTTGCCTAAAATGAACAATAGCATAGCCTTCAATATCTCTTTGAAAAATAACTTTGTACCTTTTAAATAAGTATTAAAATGAGTTCATTGTAGCTGTAGTGTTAAATAAAAAAATAAAGATGATCATCTTCATTCAGTTGTTCCATTTTTATAGGTTTGGTAACATAAAACTCTTAATTCCAAAGATAATACAAGCTAATCAGTGTATTAAGTAGGTTGCATTAGTGGCAAAAGTTATTGTAAGTACAACAATGTGACAAATAAAACTTTTTACTTTTGATACTTAAGTACTTTTAAAAGCATGTACTTTCGTACTTTAAATTAAGTAAAAACCTGTCTTTAAAACTTTTACTTGTAGTAGAGTAGTGTTTGACCTGTAGTATCTGTACTTTCACTCAAGTAATGAAGTTGTGTGCTTTGTCCGCCTCTGTGTCTGACCCACATGACATTGTTTTTTTAGTGGCGGGAATATTTTAAAGGGATAATTCACTCAAAAATGAAAATTCTGTCATCATTTACCTACCCTCAAAAGATATTTTGAAAAATATCGCAAACCAAACAGTTTATGGTATAGCCATTGACTTCTATAGTATAAATTTTTTTTAAGTCAATGCCATCAGCTGTTTGGATACCAACATTTTTCAACTTTTGTGTTCAACAAAAGAAAGAAATTCATACAGGTTTGGAACAACTTAGTTAGTAAATGATGACAGAATCAGCTTTAATTCAACATACAAAGTTTGTCTTGACCCACTTTTCTGGTTTTAACTGACTTCTCTCTTTACCACAGACAAACAACAACAACAACATGAAGGTGACAAGATGTTTAAAGCTGGTGGCCACCTTCTACAGTTTCCTCACTGTAAGTCAATGTAATTTGGTATATAATGAGTGAGTAGCCCAGAAACAAATAAACGATTCACATTTTCTCTTTCACACACTGTAGTTGAGTGGGGGCGCGACTGCAGGATTCGGTCTATGGTCACAAATAAGCCAAAAAACATCCGAAGTGTTCAAAACCGTCAATGGTACTACACTCATCACGATGCTGTCGATGGGGGCCCCGATGCAGATTGCTCTGGGCTGCATCTTCGCTCTGATGGGCTTGATTGGCTTTTGTGGCGCTTTGAAGAAAAAAAGCTGGATGCTCTTGGTCGTAAGTGTCAAATATCAAAATGTTTTCAAATATCTTGACATAAACAAGTATAAGCCAAATATATTGCCCTGTTTTAATTTGTCTGTTCTTTTTCACTTTCATTTCAGTTCTTCGTCGTTGTGCTTATCCTTTTCATCCTCCAGGTCATCTTAGCAGTGTTTACCCTCCTCCCAAAATCTGTGGTAATCTAATTTTCATTGAAAGCTGGAAAATGTTATTCAATGTGGAGAAAAAATTTAAGGGGGTCTGAATACTTTCCGTACCCACTGTATATATACTGTATATATATACATTTTTACATTTATATTTTTAAGTGTGTGTGTATGTATGTATATATTATGAGGGGCCGTACA